TCAAGAGATCAGAGACCCAGAAGGCAGCTCCTGGACTGTTCCCTCCTCTGTATGACAAAGCTATCCATAGCGCCTATGCTGACAGTCTGGCTATAGTCCATGACAGGGTGGCGTAGGTAGAACACCACAGGGCCTGGCATAAAACAGACACCAAACAAACCTGAGCTTCCTTCCCTTGCGCTCACTTTCCTTTGAGGACACAGATCTGAGGGGAGTTGCCCCTCATTTCAGGTAGGCATCTCCTTACATTTCTTGTGTCTCTGTGTATATAAAGCTCTGCTGCTTTGAGACAATGTCTTTTTGTAGCACTACAGGATTCTCTAGGAATTTACTCACCTGTGTTTTGACCATTTGTAATTAACATTCTCGCTTTGATGGGATTTGAACCAAACATTTCATTTTCTGAATTGTTTGCTTCATAATATCTAGGCAAAAGGAGGCTTGTGGGCATTTGCCTGTAATTTTCTTTTGGAGGCAAACTTGCCTTCAGATTTTTGTGTCAGAAATGCTATGCAATGCTCGCTAAATAAGGCATTTCTTGAGAATGGCCATTTTTATTGGCAGCTTTAAAAGTGTTTTGGTTTTTGTACTTACATCACACCCCTTCTATGTCTTAAGGGTTATCAGTGTCTTAACAAGTTTACAAGAGAACGAAGGAGGAGGAAGCAAGATGCTCTGGTCTGGTGGCAGCGCACATGCTGCCTAGACTCAGGCCAGGGTGCTGCTGAACTACCCCAGTGTCCCCGCCTCCAAGAAGGTGGACCCACTGCAAAGCAGGCTACCAGACTGATCTTCTTCTACCTATAGCACTTTCATTAATATGCTCCTGGGAGACTCGGCACTCACAATGAGTATAAATCTCAATCTTGTCCCAAGGAGCTGCTCAAGCTGAAAACTACACTTGCTTCAGAGGCTCATCAGATAGTATGTATGAGAAAGGCCACAGGCTGGTAGGGACCCTGGGAAAGTAGAAGTGGATTGCCACACAGAAAAAGGACAGGCCACCTGTTGTGTCACAGGATTGTACTTGTAGTTTCCTTGTGGCCAAGTCTTAAACCAAAACGTAGAATTCCTTCACGTTCAAAACAGCTCTATGAATCAAACAAAACCCATGGAGGGTGGGCTTTTTATACCTTCTTATGTAGAGTAACACCCTTGGAGCAAATGTGAGCAATGTCAAAACAGAAGCTTGCTGAAGTGCTAGTTGTAGGGCTTTACGATCTCCTAGAAGGCAGAGGTCTGACTGAGCAGGAGGTCTCCAGGAAGGCTTCTTGGAAAGCTGCTCTACAGGCAGGTAGGATGTTATAAAAATCCTGGCACAAAATGAATCAGAACTAGCTTTGGACCCAAGTCCCACCTTTTATTAGTTCTGTGATTACATTACTCAGTCCCAGTGAGCCTGAGTTTCTTTAGCTGGGAAAGGGAATTGTAAGGCTGACAGTAGAAGGCAGTTGTGAAAGTGAGAGGAAAGAGTTCTGGAAAGCTTTTACTACAGAGTCCGGGCTGTGGGAAATGCCCAGGAAGTCCAGCTCTGGTTTCCTAATGCTGGGCTGGGCAGAGGAGCCAGAGGCCTCAATAAGAAGGGCCCTCAGAGAAACTTGTCCCAAGCTGTTTTTCAAGAGCCTCAGCCTCCCCTGCTTTCTCTGCCCCAGGAAAGACCCAGAAAGCGCAGGTTGTCTTCTCCTCTCTTGCCCTCTTCCTGCTTCTCTCCGGGACCTGTGGCTGCTTGCCTAGCTGCCCTCTGTCAGAATCCCACCCTCTAAAACCTGGCCAGGCAACAGTAGAAAAACACAGCTCTACTCAGTGAGAAGTGCTCTGGGAGGCTGTATAGACATGCACAGCAAATATTCAAGGAATTCTTACGATAAAAAAATTCTTTGTAAATCTGGATTTTTGCATGAAAACATCACAGCAACATGTTTTCTCAATTACCGTGCACATTGCTTAGAGTGAAGTCACCAAGTCCGCAGCCCATCAGGGCTGACTCGCACTGAGCCGCCTAATCCAAACTTCACTTTCCAGGACCGAAATGTGATTCAGCCAACACCGTCACTGTCCCTAGCTGTCAAAACAAAATCATCCCCAAGTCCCGAACCAGGGTGGAGACGTACACAGTCCCCTGAACAGCAATCTAATTTTAGGTCCTGGTTGTACTTACTAAAATTTGGAAAACATCGCCACTCTTTTATTTTTTTTATCTTTTTCTTTTCCCCTTTTTTTGGTGCTGGGAATCAAACTCAGGACCTTGCACTTGCCAGGCAGACACATGTGCTGCTGAGCTAGACCTCCAGACCTGACAGCTCCACTCTTGATGGTAGGCTGATAACACAGTCCCACAGCCCCTTGCATTTTGCTTTTCCTTTAGTATTTATTGTTAGATGGTGACTGTGAACTTCCCTGCAGAGCAGATGAGTTCTTTAGGTCCGCAAAGCAGAGAACATGGGTTTTTTGCAAAAACACGTACCTACTGCATAAAAAATTACTAGTTGGTACCTGAGATCAGCAATTATGCTGTTCTCTGGCTGGTTTCCTGGAATGACTCTTTTCTAACCAAATGGAATTGTCAGATATTAGTAATGTCTGAAATATTTTATCAATGATGTCCCCTCACCAGAGGGATGAACAAGAGTGGACAATTAGCAGCATGCCTCAGGATCAAGACACAGCTCGCACTGAGCCGCCTCCAAGCATCCACCAAGATTAGCAGGAGCCTGGAAAACATTTAAAGCAACTTCCGTAGAGCAGAGAAAGTAAAGTGTTAAGATTCCGTAATACATACTGGTAGTAAAATAAACTTGGTGCTATACTCTCATTAAGGAGAGAAGGAGGGGAGGAAGGAAGGAAGGAAGGGAGGAAGGAAGGAAGGGAGGAAGGAAGGAAGGAAGGAAGGAAGGAAGGAAGGAACAGAGGGAGGGATGGAGGAAAAAAAATGAACACAAAAATTTTTTAAATGCATGTAGCAAAGAAAAATGGTCACGAGGCTTTGCTTTTAAGTATGTTTTTATGCACATATATGTGTGCAAACTGCCTCATGATGGAAAATGCAATTTTTAAAAATATTAATCATAGTTTTAAAAAAGTTTGAAAACTGCTGGTATAAATGACAGAATTGTATAGAAAAGGGCAGAAAGACTTGAGGTTCATTCCTAGCTCTGTGGCTTCTGGTTGTACGACTTTGGGCAACTCGTCCTCTGAGCATCAGTGTCTTTCTCTATAAAGAGCCTCCTCCCTCAGAGGGCTGTTGTGTACATGAACTGACAAAGATGTCCGAAGTGCCCGGTACTGTGCCAGCCACCAAGGGAGAGCTGCTGTCCTAGTCCATCTTCCCCGTCCTCCTCTTTCTTCTCCTTTCCCTTTCCTCTCCTGCCCTCTTCTTCCTCCCCTTCTCGGTCTTCCTTTTCCTTCCTTCCTCCTCTCTCGTCTTCCTCTCTCCTTTCTTCCTCCTCCTCCCCACTCCCACCTCTTCCCTCCATCTTCAGCCCCTTCCTCCTATGACTGTTCCACTTTATCAAAGCTGCGCCTTTCCCTCAGTGCTTATTTCCCTGCCTTGTTCTCTGTCAACCCCAGAAAGAGGCTACAGCGATCATACTTTGTCCTTGGCCCCATCTCTTTCTTCCCCACCATGTCACCGAGGTTTCATTCTTGCAGAGCTGTCTCTCTGCGATTCTGTTCCCCTGGACATGACATGACAATGAGTGTCTAAGGGACCCAAGACCTACTTGTCTCTGTCCCTGAGAGCCATCAGAGGGATAACATGGCATTCGCTGACACTGTCACTTGGATAAGCGCTTTGGTTTTCATGTGACTACAGCGACTTTGGAAGGAGCTTCCACTCTCACTAAATTGTATCCCTGTCCTTCAGCATATTTTATAAAGTTAATGGAGCTAAGATACCATTAAAACACTGCTGTTGCCAAATGTCTAAAGACGTTCCTGCCCAGAGCAGACAGCCAAACATTTTCTCAGAGGTGCCCCCGCATGGAGATCTGAGGTTCTCTGCTGATATAAACAGCTTAAAAGCTCTCAGTGTGACCGACCACTGGAGCTGACAACTTTGGGTAAACTCAACCCTAGGCCCAGCTCAGCCTTCAGCCCAACTGAGGTGTCACTGACCTGAGCTGTTTGGCTCCTAGCAAAAGGCACATGAAAGAATCACACACACACACACACACACACACACACACACACACACACACACACACACACACACGCAGATTCTACATTAGAGCCACAAAGGTGAAGTATCCCAATTTCCTTGAGAGCCTGAATGATGTAGGCCTGAGGACAGATCAGTGATGACAGGCTGCTGGGCCTTTTGCTCACAAGGGAGCTCTGCACCCCTCCTCCTGTGTTTCCCATTGCTCCCCTGGGGCTCATTCCAACTCTGCTACTAAAAGCCGCTACCCCCAGGCTCTGTTTTCACCACTAAGACTCAAAGAGGATTATTTGTGACATTCCCTCAAAGGCTGAATTCCTGTCCAGACCAGAGATTGACTGCTTCTCCCAGGCAGTTAGTGTATCCGCTATTGGGGGGTGCAGGACAATGAGACAGAAAGAGGAAAAAGGGGCCTAATTCTAGAGGTACTTTTCACCTCTGTAAGACTGTCCTCCTCTCCCCACTTGCACACCACTAGCTGCAAAGCTAACAACCCAGGCCCGTATACATTTTAAACAACACTTATTGCAGAAGAGAGACACTTGTCACCATACTCAGCCCCACCCCCAGAGCAGGTGGGGAATATTGAACCAGACACCAGGGAGCTTGAGTGGACCACAAGCCAACCAGCAGAGAGATGTTTGAATTCATTGCTGCTGCACCTGTTTCTTAGGAAAAAGCAAACGCTGACTTACTTCTTCTGTGCCCAAAGGGAGGAGAGGGGAGGGAAAGTGTATTTCCACCCTTTCTGCAATTTGCAATGATAAATGGAATCAATTGTCCCCGGAATGATATCCTACCCACGGTGTTTCTTATGTACGGAAAGAATCACCTTTCTCTTCACCTGGGCTTGGGAGTGTTGTTTCTGTGCTTTCACAGGGAAAGTGTGAACACTTAGCAGTGTTTCCATTTTTCTTCTTGAAGATGTCAGGCTCCAAAATTTGACCCCGGATCTCATGTCTATGTGTCAGCATCTCTGTACCTTGGAAATGAAAGAAAATATTTTAGGGGTAATTTTCCCGAAAAAGAGCAAGACACATCACAAAGCAGAGGGCTTAGTAAACCAACAAGTATGTGTTAAGGTTTCTTTTTTTAAAGCATCATTTTAATTAAGCAGAAAAGGGGTTTTAAATCACCACCGTACACAGAGTGTCCACTTCTAGTCATTTAGCTTTATTAGTAATTAAGGACTTATGCAATTCTGATCAGCAACAAACTTGTCTGCAGCTATTGCTTTTATGTATTGGGAAGGAAAACTGGTAAGACTGTTGTAGGTTACTTATTTCAATCCAATAATACTTATGTTTAAGAGATGAGGGATTTATTCCTGGTTGAGAATAACTTACTGTTATTACCAGTATGTTACTTGGGCAAATCATAGAGCCTCTCTGAGCCTCTGTTTCTTATTTTGTAGAATGAGAATAACATTCACCTGCACACCTGATAGGGCCTTGCACCAAATATGTCTGATGGATGGAGAAACATCTGGATTGTAGATGTAAGAGGCCAGATGTGAAGCCCTAGACCAGGAGTGGGAGACACCAGGTGCCAGTGTCGGCTCTGCCTACAGTTGGTTGGGGAACTTGACAGTCATTTGCCTTAGAAGAATAGCTGCCCTTTCAAAGGCAGGAGCAGATGTGGAAGAATTTACAGAACCCTGGACAGAACCAGGTGCTCCTGCCTTAGCTGGGATGGCAGTTTATGCCAGGCCTTGAGTAACCTCCTGAAAGGCAGAGGCCAAGGGTACCAGGGAAAGAACAAGAATGCAGAATCAGACTTTCTAGGGTTCTAGCCCTAGGGGTAGTGTACACAATGCACGCTATGGAGGCAAGTTGCTGCAGCTCTCTGATTGTCAATATCCTCAGCTGTAAAATGAGACTAACTGCACTTACTTCTTAGTATAAAAATGAAGAGGTGGCTTTTGCGAAGTCATTTGGTTTTCTGAAACATAGGTATTGTGCGTTGTAGTACTATGGCGTCATTATTGACCCTGATAACAAATGAAGTTTGAGGAGCTCCCAGACTGCTCAGTGACCTGGCTGAGGACACTAAGCAGATGTGACAACAGTGCTAGGATGCTTCAAGGACATGAAGCACTCACAGTGTCCCTTCTCCTTTACTGATCTTCTTCCTCCCTCTCCTTTCCTGGCTTCTCTGTCTCCTCTGTCTCCTCTTGACCTCTAAATAAGTACCTGGAACTCAGTATAAGATGCTTTTTATTTTCTAGATCATTCTCTTTCATCCTCGTCAGGCATTAAATCAACATAGGATTCTAGATGTCTGTCTCATTCTGGACCTCTGCCCTGGACCCCAGGCTCTTACATTCTACTGGCATGCCTGCTTGGATATCTATTGGACCCCTCAAATTTCGAACATTTGACCCCCAACCTATTCTTCTCCTAGACTCAATTACTCTTCCCACTTTGAATAATGACATAATTATTCTCACAGAATAACCTAGAACTCTTGCTAGATTCTATCTTCCTCCTCACCTTTCATATCCCGTTCCCCAGTTCGGAATGCAATCACTCTTAACTGCCCATTACGGCCCCTCAGTCTGGGCTGCCCTCCTCATTCCCCGGGAGCTCCTCGTGGTCCTGACTGCCTCCTCTCCTGTTCCCCTACAGCCTTTTCACCCACCCACAGCCAGTGTCCTTTACTGATGGAAATCATGTTGTCATTTCCCAGACTGTAGCATCCAGTGGCTTCCCACTGTCTGTAGAACAAAATCCATACTCCTGCTGTGGTTTCATTTCAGTGTTTCTTCACTGGAAGGACCCTTTCTCCCAGGAGACATTTGGTGAAGTCTGGAGACATTTTTGGCCTTCACAAGATGGATAATACTACTGGAATCTGGTGACTAGGGACCAGGGATAGCTAAATAGCCTGCAAAGCACCGGCCAGTCCCCCACAACAAGAAGTTATCTGGCCTAAAATGTGCATAATTGTGAGGGGCAGGGACCTGCTTTAAATGATCTGAACCCTGACTCCAGCATCTCATGTCACTCTTCCCCTTGCCTGCCATGCGGCAAACCCACTGGCCTTCGGCCTATGGCTGTAACACACTGCGCTTCTCACTATCCTCGAGTGAGGATATCCTGCACCTGCTGCTTCCTCCACTGAGCACATTCCTAGCCACAGATCTGCACAGGGTTAACTCTGCTCATCGTTTAGTCTACCCAGATGCCATAGCTCAGTCACTCTATGACGGGGAGGGAAACAGAACCAGGAAGGAGCAATTTTAGCTCAGGGAGTTCGAGTCAAGAGAAGCCCAGGGGAAGAGGCAGAGAGGGGTTTGGAACGGAAGAGCAGATGTCACCAGGGACAGTGTCTCTGGCAGCTCATCCTGGTAACAAAGGGGATGGGTACTTTCTGCCTTCAGCTTGCCAGGAGCTGAGTGAGGGGGCTGTGAGCGGATGGGCCGTACTTGAAAGGCAAATGGGGAGTAAAATCAAATCACTCGTGCAGCCAGGTAAAGCCTGGGCCTGGATGGAAGTATATGAAGTAATTATTTGAAAAACAGCTCTAGGAGAATCTCGATTTCATACACTCTGCCCCATCGTCCAGCACTGGTCCTGTGCTCCAGCTGAAACATCATTACAGAAATGCCACATGTGGCCATGGGTAGTACATGTCAGGTCCCTCAATCCAGGTGAGCCCCTGCACTATCTCACAATAACAATATTTAAGGAGGATGGAGTGGAGGAAGGGTGGGTCAGGATTATGTGTCCAAGAACCCAAATTCCAGGGGATACAGATTCTGGGATTTGAAGAACATGGAGTGTCCCAGGTGCTAGGATGCCTGGCCTCAGGCACACAGATCTGGCCATCCCGTTATCTTCTCCAAGAGAGGGTGTGATCAGTGTCTGCACCCTCAGGTCCATCTTTGGATACCAACCCATGACTCTGGCTTGTTTCACTACTTGTATATTTGTGAGGAGATGACTATGTGAGGCTGGGGGGCCAACAGCTCATTTTATTAGTCTATGACTATAAGCTTAAAGTAACACACCTCAGATGCAGGCAGCTTACACCAACCTACTGAAAATATTAATATAAAAATTTACAGGCTCTAAAGAGTGATATAATGGTGATGAAATTCAGATGTGTTGGATTACTCTTCTGGCTAATTTAGCCCTGACTTAACCCATAGAAATATGGATTTTTCCTGCCGACATAGTCTCATAGCTCTCTGGGTACTGTGTACCTTGCAGGGATAGTGCAAGAGGTTGTCTACCACACTGCCCCAGAGACTAAGACACCGCAGGCTGACCATCCATCCCTGCTTCTCTAGAGCCACAGACGTGCTGCTCTAGCTTTGTGTTCCTAAAACCCAATGGTCAACTTGCCATTAGGTCCCCTTCCTGGAATACACAAGTTTGATGCTTCTTAAAACATGATCTCTGGCCCTTCACTCATATTAAGAAATACATGGCTTATAGGCTCAGACCTGTGCTTGTCCCAGGAGCAAATTCTCTTAGCAGCCATCAGATTCTTGGCATCTGAAAAGAATAAGCCACTTCCTGACAATGCATCAAGTGGAAGATGCTTTGGTCCTTCCTCCTGTGTGACAGACATTCAGTACATTACAGAAACTGCCTCTGAATCTGTTTCCTCAGTTCCTAAAGTAGAACCAGGATAACAATCATACTCCCCTTAGAAAGTAGTAATTCAAGGACAGAAGATACATAGCCCTCAGCTGAGTACTTGGCACATTAAAGCTGTTCAGTGAATGGTAGCTGTCACTGTATTAGTAAAATCTTGGCAAGTAAAATTCAGATGTCAATGACTCATGAAAATACTTTGGAACTTGAAGTCTTTATAAAGTAATAAGGCAAGAGAGTGAGGTTTGAAACTTGGGGAGAAAATCCCTATGCAAGACTTGCAGACGGCCAATATTGTGGTATCAAAGTGTGACTTCCACTCATTTGTTGGGTGGCCTTACTTACACCAGCTGTAAGGTAGAAGTAATAATAATGTCGCTGCAGTGATTGAATGTGCTAATGCTTATTAAATGGTTGACGTAGCACAAAGCACATAAGCCTCAAAAAATGGAGCTTTCTGTGGTTATTGCTATTTTCACAAGCAGTGGTCCACATGCTAGCTCCTCCACTGGCACTTTGCTGGTCAAGTTGCCACATGAGTCCAACCTGGTGGCTAAAGCTCTAGGCCAGAATTTGGGTGGGGACATGCAATACTCACCCCAAGGGTCTCTTCCTTTCACAGAGCATTCACAGCCCATAAAAGTCACTCCTACAGATTTCTGGGGACAACTCCTTACTGCATGTAGGTGGCTCTGTCATTTGTAAGGCAACGTCATCCGGTGCACAGACAGGGACGGGTCCCTTTCCTTTCTTCTCACTGGCCTGGAGTTGACCCCACCTGGCTCGCATTCCTCATTCCTGGGTGGTCACAAAAACAAGGGAGCCATGCCCCTGAAAGGAATTGAATTCACTACACAGCAAGGGGAAAGGGGCACAGAGTTTAGCTTTTGCTACCAGCCCTGCCAGAAAGTGCTGGACCAGGAATAGCAAAGAAATTCCACAGGAAAGGGTCCTCTAGATTCCTTGGATACAGAAGTAAATTGTAGGGTGTCTCGTTCATCATCAAAGCTACCAAAACTTACATAAAATGCTGTAAAGATATTTCTGCCTGTGCTGTTAAGCAAATATATCTAAAATGGAGTAATTTTCATTCTACAAAAACTGGTAAGTAGGATTAATTCTGACTGCAAGAGTGTTGCCTATCTTTGAGCTAATTATTCAGCAGAAAGTGTTCTGTCCCTGTGCACACACTATTTGGGCCTTAGGAGCTGGAAAGACTTTTTTCAGTACTGGGGACTGAACCCAGGGCCTTTGCACTGAAATACATCCCCATCCCTTTTTAAAAAAATGTTTGTTTTATTTTGAGACAGGGTTTTGCTAAGTTACTAAACTGCCCAGGATGGATTCAAACTTCCAATGCTCCTCCCTAAACCTCCCAGAGTTCCTATATTACAGCAGTACACCATGCACTGGGCTCAGACAGACACTTTAGGTTTATACCTGCCCACAAGGGAACAAGCAACTTGCATCTGATTGGAGCTTTTCATTTTAACTTTAATTCCAAAGAAGACTTTAGCCTTTTGGGGAAAGAATCTTTGGAGTAAACCTAATACCACAGCTCTGACTGTTCCGACAGATTCTTTCAGGAACCTGTATCCTTGGAAATGAAAAGGAATTGAAAACGTTTTATAACCCTTCCTTTCCCCTATTGTATGCTTCTGTCACCTGCACCTGCATGTGCCTACAACATACACACACACACACACACACACACACCACAAAAAAGTGGAGATATCGATGAAACTGCAAACACTGAAGAACTGCAGAACTTTGTGGTTCAAAGATCCATAGACTCACGCTGTTGAAAGAATCATGTGAAACCACACAGACCTTTTATTTTAATACATGAAACAAAAAGAAGGAAAGGAACCACAAAACCTAGCAGATGAAGTACATTGTCTAAAATCACAATGTGAGTGGCACAGCCCTGCTCAGGTCTCAGTTCACTTTTCCTTCTAGTCTTTTACCAGCTATTTGTCAAGCACCAACTTGTGCCAGAGGCTGTGCAGGGCACACAGGATGCATTGGTGGACAACATCTCCCACCCCCTTGACAGGACATACAGCCTTACAGTGAGCATAGCCACAAAAAACCTCCAGGGTTATCTCTGAGTTCTGTGGAAGAGAAACCCATGTCCTGTCCTGTCATGTGTCTTGAGAACAGGCAGCAAGATACTGGAGGAGATGTGATTCTATTGAGATCTGGAAAGTAGCCAGAAGGAGGAAGGATACTCAGAGATAAAGGAAAGTCTTCCTTCCTCATCCAGAAAACCCTTTCACCATGATGTGCTGTGGCAGCTCAGATGGATTCGCATCTGATCCTCCGCACTCTTCTCACCTCCACACTCAGTGAAGTTGTGTGACAACTTGAAATTGAAATGGGCCCTAGTGGGCAGATTTACACACAGAAAGCAATAAATGCCACAAATTGTGGAACCGCCCCCCCTCCAACTCTGGAGAGCCATTTTACCAACACTCCATGGGCTTCATGTGTTCTGCTGGCTTCCTGGCTGTGGGCAGCACAAATACTGTTCTACAAACCCAAAGCCTCCCCTCCCTCTTATAGAAACTTCCAAGTGCCCATTCCTGGTGAGGTTCTGCCAGCAAGTGACTTGGGCCTTGGGGCTGTTTATTTCAGACCCTGGGCCATCTGGCTCCTCCTGGGCTCAAGGACATCCCAACAAGTTAATACCATGCCACTAAGAAAGAGCCTGTTCTTGTGGTCTTTGTCACCTCCTTGCCATCTAATGATATTTATCAACCACCCACGCCTGCCCAGCTTGTATGAGACACTTGGCCAGGCAGATCTCAAGCAAGGCTTTGACCCCTCAGGAATTCAGGGCTTGGCTGAGGCTGCAGGACTGACATTGTTCTTCTTTACTATAACACAAGCTGCCCGGGGCACAGAAGCAAGGCTAGGAGTACAGCCAAGTGCATGGGGTTAGGAGATAGCACTGCTGCTGTTCCTCACAATTTGTCTCTAGGCACAGGCAACTAAATGAGTAGGATTAGAGTCCACAGTACATGTGTGTGATGTGGTCTAGTTCTAAAGCAATGGATTCTACCACCCTTGTTCTGAAGAGATCTGCCAAAGAAAAAGTGAGCTCTTACAAGGACTGTAAGAAGCAAGTATGGGCAGCATCTTGGGGTAAAGGTCTTATAGAGGTAAAGTCTTTGTTTCTAGGAAATATGTGTGCATATTCTAGTATGTCTATGTGCCTGTGTACACAAATAGGTTATAAGCACATATTCATGTGTGTGCATATGCATGTACACATGCATACCTGTATGTAGTATGCATGGGTGTGTATACGCGCATGCTTGTGTGTCTGCAGTGCACAGAATGTAAAAGGAGACGGTGACTGTTGTGGAGCAGGGCACACGCAGAGCTATCACACAGGGTGGCATGATGGAAAATCTAGGAGGAAAAGGCCAACCAGAGTTCTGATAGGCCATTTTTTTTTTTTTTTTGTACCCGGAACTGAACTCAGGACCTTGAGCTTGCCAGGCAGGCACTTGTGCAGCTGAGCTATATTCCCAGCCCTCCATCCAGAGTTCTGGTTGGGGAAAAAATTGTATACTCTGATGGATAGACAGGATTCCTGTCCCTCCAATCATCTCCCAGCTGCTAGCGGGCAGTGTCTAACACTCTTGGCCTATGCTGGAAAAGACACCCCCTGAGCAACGGAAGCTCAGCTATTTACCATCTTGATCACCACATGGAGTGACAGGGAGGTTCCAGGAGGCACCTGCCCCACCCACAGCCACATCGGAGAGTGACAGGGAAGAGCACTCCCAGATTGTAACACCTAGTCTTGAATCCATTCCTCAGACCATGAAGCTGCCTGCCTAGGGGTGGAGAGTAGGTGGAAATGAGCCAAGGTGGAAGGGCCTCAAAAGGGAGTCCTGTGTGTTTAGAGTACACAGAAGACAACAAAGGAGAGAGGCAGCTGGAAATCCCTGAGTATGTAAAGGCAGAGGTTAACACAGTGTGAGCAGCCAGGTAGATAGAAGCTGGTGGATATAAAGATGGTCCTCAACCCTGCCAAGAAGTCCTTTCCCCTCCCCATGTTCCCACTCTCCGTTAGGCTGCACAGATGACCCGCTTCCTCAGTTCACATGCTGCTCCCTTTTCCAATACTGCTTTGGAGCTTGAGGGTAGCCCCTCACCCTTCTGGCAAACCACAGTAGTTTGAGGGCCCTGGCTCAGACAGGGAGTTAATGAGACAGTCTGGAGGGGACACACAGGTTATCGGTAGAGGGACACAGCTGCGTGTGCCTGAGGAGACAGCCCCACCTGCTAATTCACACAGAGACTCCACATGCCAGACCTCAGCCCCGACGCTGGAAGCCCCCAGACACCACGGAGAGAAAGGAATCTCTCAGAGGGGATCCCTAAGAGAGAAAAGGAGCTCAAGTTTATAGCAGAGCACAGAGGTGGGGCAGCCTTGGGAAAAGTGAAGACCCAAATTACCCACTTAGCAATGACTCCTGAGGCCTGCCCTGGGGTATTAGTTACTCCACTAAAATGCTTGTGGTCTGAAGATGAAGGAGGTGTTCTTATTATGAACATTGAGATAATTAATTTGTTTGTGTCATTATGCTCATTGTCCAAAGATTGTTCATTAAGACATCTTATTGCTGATAATTGCCCAGACGTTATAGTAAACAAGGAACTGCTGCCAGTGGCAAGGATGCATTTCTAGTTCTAGAGTGAGCATTGAATGTTTACTTTGCTGCCACATAATCCCCTGACTATGGCTGGGCAGTAACTCATCAACCCCAGGTGAAGAGTGCCCTAATAAAGAGCAAATTATTCTCTATGGTCAGATCCCAAAATATGTGGGTGACAAACACAGTGGCATTGTTCCATGACTGAGCTTGTTTTCCATGTGTAGGAGGAATTCCAGACTTGAGAATTCTGCATCCAGACTTCATAAATTTTTTTTTCTATTCGAGACAAACACAACTAATGATAAAGAACAACACCAGCTTGGCATCTCCACTCCAAAAGGCTCGGGTCAAATCCTGACCTCCGTAGGGACTGGAGAGGATCCAACAGCAACCACTGTCTCCTGCTGTCAGCTGGGCCATGGCCTCCACCAGACCAACTTTCCCTTGGCTTCTGGAGAGGGGAGGCAGAGCAGATGTGTGGGCCTGCTAATGCGCTGGAGGATGGAATTGTTCTCCCAGCTTATTGAAATCAGATGCACAGTGCTCAGAGTGGCCCTGCAAACAGATGGCAGCTCCACGCAAGCACCCTCATACTGGAAAATTACAAGAGCCATGACTCCCTCTCCTCGCTGCCCTGTGTGACTGCATTTTTACCCAGTAGGCAGGAAAAGGCCTTCCCTTCTCCGCTCATGCACTGAGGGTCAGGCCCATGTCAAATAAAGAGCTCCTAGATAGCTAAAGTAATATAGTCACCACCCCCCTTATCCGCAGCTTCACTTTCCATGGGTTTAGTTGCCTGTGGTCTGCCACACTTGGAAAATATTAAATGGAAAATTCCAGAAGTAAACAATTCATTAGTTTAAAATCGTATGCATGCTGAGTAGCTTGATAAAATCTCTCAACATCGTGCTCCAGCCCACCATGACAAGAATCATCGTTTTGTCTAGCGTATCCACGCTGTATCCCCTACCCACCTGCTAGTCACTTAGCTGCCACATTGGTTATCAGATCAGCTCTTGAGTATTGCTGTGTTTATGTTCGTGACCCCTTCCTAGCTGCTTGACACTACATCACAATTCCTGCATCACGATCCACCTCGCTTCCTCTCATCACACTGCATTGTGTCATCCTACACCATCACAGGAAGGGCAAGGACAGCACAATAAAATTTTGAAAGAGTCCACATTCACATAACTTTTATTAGAGTATGTTGTTATAATTATTCTATTTTATTATTACTTTTAATCTCCTGTGCCTAAATTATAATTTAAATGTTATCCATAGTTATATTTATTTATAGTATATAGTATATAGAGAATTCAGTATTGGCCACAGTTTCAGACATCCACTGGGCTCCTAGAACACATCCCCCAAGCATAAGGGGAGATTGCTGTATAAAAATTTGAATACAATAAATAATTCAGGAAGGATGTGTCCTAAATGAGAACATTGGTTATTTCTGAGTACATAGGACTGGAATAAAAAGCAATGTGACATATATAGAATTGAGTACACTTTGAGGAGTTTACACAGGTCCTCAAATTGTATTCAACTTGTCATAAACAAACTTTGAGGTTATATTAAAATATGTTTTAATATGGAGTACATTTTTAAAATTTATCTTAAATGCTAGATAATAAGCTATTTCATTTGCTATAGATTCTAGTTTAAGACTTTAAATTTTCTTTGAGTTTTTTTACATTGAAATTAGACAATTGGGATAATACATTGAGTGAATTTGTTAGCTGATATTTTCAGATTTACATAAAACAGCAGATTGATTATAAATCTATTGTTTTTTTTTTAAATCTCCAAGTTTTTTTTTCTTTTTTGGTACCAGGAATCAAACTCACGACCTCACGCTTGCCAGGCAAGCACTTGTGCCATTGAACTAAATCCCCAGCCCTTATAGATCTATTTACAAATAGATTTACAAGAAATAAATTACTTACTCATAAGACTAGTATGAGATTTGAGATAATGCATCTAGAGTATTTCCAGTAGTCACAATACCTGACACATACAGATAAATATTGGATAGATTTTAGCTATCATTAGTACTTACTCCCTCCCTCTCTCATTCTCTCTCTCTCTTTTTCTCTATTTCATTTTCATTTTCTCTTAAAGATGATTCCAAGACCTGCAAAATAAATCAGCAAATACTAACATATTTTTTGAATTTACCGGAGATAGATGTGAGTATAAAACAAATACCCAGGGTCTAGGTCAAATCTTCTAGTCTCTGTCAGCTCTCAGATCTCTTTCCAGCTCCCCTCCAGGTAATGCTTCCTAGGATGTGGCAGGAATTGAGGAACTGAAGTGGAACTTAGAGATAGGGTCTTTTTACAGACTTCACCTCATGTCATAGAGCAGCAAAGACAAAACAAGCCCCTAGGACTGTGACCACCCCTTCTGTGTCTGCCCCTTCTCACTCTGACAGATGCTCTCTAGTGGCTGATACATAATGACACTGACTCCCTCTGGACCTTAGAGTACTCTGCAGCATCACACAGTGGGTAGCTCAGCCCTGGGCAAGTAGTAGGTGCTAATCAATGATTTGTTCGGTCCTCTGATGTGGCAGGTGGGTGCTCAGCAGTATAAGGGATAGGAAGCTAAGGAAGGTGGGCCCTGCCTTCAGAAAGCTTTCTGAGACTAACCAAGTAAGGCACAGCAGGGCATGGGGTCCTCTCAGATAAGGGAAACTTATTAGATCTCATCTACAAAAGAATGAAAATCAGAAATTGAATCACAAAATAGATCTCCATGAGCTGGTTTTTGGGCTTCCTACCGTGGAAAATTCCCAAAGCTGGATATTTTCCACATTCATAGTTCAGCCCTTGACCTCTCCCTTCACGCCAGACTTTTCTATCAACGGCATTCTCAAACTGTCCACCTGTAGGACTGATATAAGTTATCTCCAATATAAAAACCTCAGCGTAAGAGAGCTCAGTGGAAGGGATCTCTTTGAGATACTTAGGTATCTCAAAGTGAACATGTCTGGACCTGAACTCTTGACTCTACCCTTCACACGGCTCCTCTGCCAGTGTTCTCCACCTCAACAAATCGCACCTGCGACCAGCTGGAAGCCAAAAACCTTTGAGACTCCTTGATTTGCCTTTCCCTTTACTCCTCCACATCACAGTCTGTCAGGGAAACCTATTGGCCCTATTCCTTCTCCACAGCCCACATACAGTGTCCTCCCACCTCCGCCATGCTCCCATCACACCCAGACCATAACCAGTTCTCCCTTAGGTCACCGCAGGATCTCCCTACCTGGTTCCCCATTGTATGCACACATTTAGAGTGCTCCTTTCAAAAGTGAGTGAGGGGGCTGCGGATTTAGCTCAGTGGCATAGCGCCTGCCTGGCAAGCGTGAGGTCGTGAGTTCAATTCCCAGTACCAGAAATAAACAAACAAACAAAAACAAAAGTGGCAATGCATTAAGCTTTTCTTGGGTGAGGAGGATTGGGGATTAAATTTAGGAGATTCTTTTCACGAACTACATCTCTAGCCCTTTTTATTTATCTAATTTTTTTGAGTTAGGGACTCACTAAGTTCCTAAGTTGCATCCCTTTCCTTCTCAAAAGTGTCTTATGGCTTACCTCCACCAGAAAAAGTCCAAAAATCACCAGGGCCCCCAACGTTCTGTAAGAGCTGGCCGGGGTTGTCGCTCTGATCTCATCTCTTTCCAGCCTTCCTGAGCCACAGGCGTGTGTTTGCTATATTCAGCTGAGTATGCTTCTGCCTCTGGGCTTTCACCCTAGCCATCCTCTCTGCTCAGAATGTCTGTTCCCACTTCTTCATTGCTCTCTCCCACACTTCACTCAGGTCTCTGTAAATGCCACCTCAGCAGAGAGACATTTCCTGTCCAAACTAGCACTTCTCCAGTGTATAATTCCAACACACTCCCCATGCTTTATTTTTTTCTAGCACTTATCACGAACTGGCACTTTATTGGTTATTTCTATTTGTTTTCTATCTCCACTACAATTTAACTTCTCTGAGAGCACAGAAGTTTCCCATTATGTTCACAACTATATTCCCAGTCTCTAGAACACTGTCTTGACACGTGTAGGTGCTGGATACATAGTTGTTAAGAGAGTGAATCAGCAATGCACTTTCATTTTGATACCTCAGATTGTTTGTATGCTAATCTATTGCCCCTACTAGGCCAGTCTTACCTACCTCTATAATCCCTACCATCCTAAACATGGTGTGCCCATATGCAACAGGTGCTTATTACATGTGTGCTGAATTAAACTGAACAGTTGCCAAGCACTAGCCACAAATTTTGTGACTTCGGTCTAGTTCCTATCAGCTGCAAGAAGCACTGTGCCTCAAGGCTCTGTCAGTTCTTCTGAGCTGCTCCCAGTGTTTCATTAGAATCTGGATGACTCCTGAGAGAAGGAAGACCACAAATAGAGCTTTGTGTGATGGAGAAAATGGGGATGTTGCCACTGACCTTTTGCCAGGTCCAAGTGTGCAGAGCTGAGTTCTGGGGAAAGCAGCAGAAGCGAATGTAACCAAAGGGTTGATCAGATCTCACCTACTAAGGTCACAGGTTCTGTCCTGGAGGGGAGATTTATGCCATATCACTGCCACAGAACCATGTGGACAAGCCACAGTGGGTCAGACAAGCCAAGATTTTTGCTCCTGTCTGATTCTGTACACTTCTACAGAACCAGACAAATTTGGTCCTTGCCTTTGGAATCGCATCTACTTGTTTGAGTGATGGCCTGGAACCTTTCCAAAATGCCAGCTCGAGACTCACACCCCAGGCCCCAGTGAAGGGAAGACTATGCTGCACTGAGGGCCTCCTGATAACTGGCTCCTTTGGAAGGAGTCCAGGTGCAGCTAGAGTTGTGAAAAATTCAGACTTATAAGTGCAGCTAAAACATGACACAGTGTACTAGGAATCGATTTACAAATTTATCTCAAAATCAAAGCTGCTTGCAAAAAGGATTTAGCTCTGCCTTCAACTATTTCCTCAGGCTGAAATATTTAAATGGAAATAATTCACAAAATATGTCATTGTCTGCTTATATTTTCTCCTGATGGCAAAAGAACTCTACTAAACTCCCCAGGTTGCCATCAGTTATTTTTAAACTACTTTGTCTTTTAATAAAATCCTTAGGCATCTGGAAGGCTTATTTCAAAAGTTGATCAGTAAAAGAAAAAATAATTGTGTATTTGAAACATATATGAAAAATCTCTTAGTAAGGTAAAGAAACAATATGACAGTTTTTTTGCTTTTACCTTTTTAGCGGGTTAGTGCCGATAAATGATCCGTGTCATTGGAAACTATGCCAGGAAACGCACCAAAATCAAAGCAGTGCAGATTTACAGAGAAACAAACAGCAGCTGTCTCAGATCATGCAGGGGGCTGGGGCCAGAAGTCTGCTGAGAACTCATCAAACCCAATTGAGCAGTTCAGGGCAAAAGAAGATGCTCAAAAAATAAAAGTACAAGCCCATTGGAAATATTAAGAAAAGACTTGTCCAGATTTTTTAAAAATATATACTCAAAGCTCAAACCATTACAATGGGCCAAAAGCTCTAAACCAGAGCTGCAAAGATGCCATTTAAAGTTTCTTAAATGAGGCATGAAGAATATCTGGACTGTTCCCTCATACAGGCCTGGTTTAGAAGGATGGAACTTTTCCCTCTCTTGAGAAAATCTCCAAATTACAATTTTATGGGCTTTCTTATGCTGGTTTTCAAAGCTGTGGTCAATTCAAGAAGGCATTTTCCTTGCATGATTTTAGACTATTCTCAAAGTGTATTTCTTGGTATATTGATTAAAATGTTTCCAAATCTTCCGTAAAAGAAAAAATAACTGTTTCCATGGTGAAATAAGTTTGACCTCAAATAAGTGAAACCTTCTTGGGGACTTGCGATATCTACTGGCACATGGAAAACTCTGAGTAAACAAAGCTGTTTGTGACTCAGCAGTCCTAAATGTTTTTGACTGTGGATCCCTTTTTTCACCAAGCTACCCTGGATAACCTAGAGGTTTAAACCACTGGTTTGGACATTTCTGTGA